TCCTCTTAATATGGGATAAAACTTGTATTAATCAATCAATCAATTCATATGATCAATCATTTTTAGATGGATTCAATAATCAGTAACTTGCATTCCTACTCAAGTGATAGCTGTCTAATATTCAATGTTAACAGCTAAATATGAGCATTAGAAAGGTCTATAAGGGAACAGCTACTTTTTTACACATTAAAGATACGTCCTAAAGAACATCTAAAAGGCAAACAGATGGAATAAATTAAATTCTCTCCCACTAGATGGAGACAGATGACTTTAAATAGCTGTGTAATGTTAGGTAATTGTGATTTTCTATGGGGGGGCACAATAACCACATTACACAATGACATCCTGTGGCTGCTATCCCTGCAACATCGTCCTGAGCACGCCGAGCTTTATGTGGCGTTTCATTCATAGTCTTTCTGGTAGGATTTCATTCTGTGTTCTTAATCTCAGAGAACAAGATGATTTTCAGTTAGAGGCAGGCTGCTGATGATGCCAATTTTTATGATGGCATACCGAAATGGACAACAATGGGATGCAGACATTTCCAGACTATTCCTGGATGATGCAGACTGACTGAAAATGTAAACAAGACGCAGGCGCACATGTGCACATCCTCCAGAGGCCTCGGCTGCTGAGCGTCCTTGACATTTCCATCCGCGATCATTACCGGCCAACGAATGTTTACCGGAAGAGATGGGAGGAGGGGGTTGATGGGGAGGGCTAGCTAGAGCAGTCAGTTAAATTTGAGGGCATTTAATGATGAGTTGCCATCATAAGTCTAATTGGGTTTGAGGAGCGCTGGTCCAGAGGGAATCCAAAGATAGGTCTGGTCCTTATCTAAACTAAAGCTGCCAGGCTAAATGCATTGGCGCCGAGGGGGGAAAAAGATGGATGAACCAACAACAGATTGAAATTGCAGAACATATGTCTTTGTAATTCCCACATTCCCGGTAGCAGTGGTATCCCAGCTACATAAAAATACTGATTACTGCTTTAGGGGGGAAAAAAAAAAAAACAGCTGACAAAATTTACAACCAATGAAGTTAATTATGGCTATGTGACACGTTTCAGGGGTCTGTCTCAGTAGTTAAAACTGTTTGGAGAGAATTTGCCCTAAAAAAATGTTCGGGGGGGAAATTCAAGCAGCCAAGACTAATTATGTAGACAAGAGAACAGCTGTATTGACTTTGTCTTAGTTACAGCGCACCAACTCCCACATCTGATGCAAATATACAAGCTCAACAGCTCTGCTTAAAAAGAGATCAACAAACTAAACAGACTGGCTAAACTGGGGCAACATCCCTGGAAAATATCCCTCATTCCAGCACGCCCCCATCTCAGAGAGTTTCTAAATATAGCAAATATTCACATTTAAGTATTCCCTATACGACCCCTGTTTTATTGATGACATATGCATTATTTAGGTAAGTATTAGACATATTGGTTTATGTGATGGGAAAACATGAAACGGAAGCATCCTGACAAACTCGACAATCTATGTAAAAAGCAGGGCATGCTTAAACGAGGGGAGAGGATCCTGGTTTGCCCAAAAGCTGTGTTGATTACAATTCCAAGAGGTCCCACGAGGGAGATTAACACATGAGCATACATTATCCCTCCCTCTCCTCCTTTTAAAACTGCACAGAGAAGAAGAGGAGGAGATGAGATGAGAGGAGGCTACGCACAAAGGCAAAATTTAGAAATGAGCGAAGGAACTAGCAGCAGCGTTTCAAAGTTTTGTGACAAGGAACTGATCTCTGAAGCATCTTGCAAAACAAGCAACAAACAACCACGTCTTTGATTTTGAGTCAATTTAACGGGTCAATTTAATTTTTATGAGAGAGACCAACGACTAAGCAAAGCCTAATTGTTAAACAGAACAGAATTAAAGGTGTTGAACCCCTTTTAACCTCCGTTGCAACCAAACGCTGTAACCCTAATTAGTAGCTGTCTTCCACCTTTGTGTACTGAAATCTCTGTATGAAACCTGGCTATTCTGTGAGGACCTCAGAGGTTTGCTGACTACTTTTAAGTCAAAAACTAAAGCGTTTTATTCTAATAAAGCTACAGTCACAGTGGGCTGGGTTATCTCTGTAATTGCAGTATCACAATGAGCTGCTGGAGGACATACTGACCACTTCCCCTTACCCTACTACTTGTCTTACTACTCTCCAATTATGCACAATTTGCAGCTATTTTACAGCTATTAACTTTAAGGTCGGTCTCAGTTTTTATTTTCTTAACAGAAGTTGTGTCTGGACTGGTGTTTCTGTTTAGCAGTGGGACGGCCTTTGGTTACTATTGCCATTACTGGCATTTATTCTGTGTTTCCCCAAAAAACCTAAAGTAGCCCAAAGCTACTTCCAGGACCAGACTGCTCTTAAAAAAAGACAGTCTGCAATCTCTATCTCTCTGAGATACAGGAATAACTTCCAGACGTGGTAAACCACAACACCCAACAGAGGACACACCTAGCCTCCCAGCTAGGAATCCGGCATACAACCCACAGAGAATACAGCCTGGGTCAGACCGAACTGTGCTGGACGTAGGAAACTCCCCACAATGGCGAAAGATAGGGAAAGCATTTCCAGCTAAGCAATTTGGATTCTAATGATTTCTGATCCTTTCATGATTTTTACTGTCAAGAAAGGCAAGCCTGCTGACGTTATAGCGACCGCATGGTAGCCAACCCAATGCTAACATGCTATATTGCTGTTTCTCTTTACAGTAAAGAGAAACTTTGCCTTAGCAAGGGTTTAAATTAGTAGCCTCGTGAGACCATCCTGATCTCGCGAGCTTTCAAGGTTTCACTCGCAGATCACTCTGGAGAATCTCCGTTGAAGAAAATTTGGAGCCGTTCACCAAACGAACGTCAGTTCAGTCTAAAGAACATGGCAGCTTCAGCCGATGAAACTAACGTTAGCGTGGCTATCGAGCAAGTTTTATCGGAATTACAGAGTATTTCTTCACTGAAAGAAGAGCAAAACACTGCTCTGGAGGCTTTTCTCAGAGGAAAAGATGTTTTTGCTCTTCTCCCGACTGTTTTCGGCAACAGTAGCCTGGCTGTTAGTACGTCATATGCTTCGTTGATCTGATTGGTTTATTGGTTTATTTGGCCCGTCTATCACCAACATAGGCCAATCAGCTAACCATTATTTTCGCCCCTTCCCAAAATTAGTTCAACGGAAGGTTTCCAGATGGATATGCGGAGCAAATCCATCTGGCGGAGTCAGGTTATTAAATTAGACCTGCACTGGTCAATTGAGAAAGTTCATAATCAATTTCCCTGGTTCCAGAGCAGCCCAATGTCCAAGAATAAAATAGTAAAACTAGCCATTAATAAGTATGAAAATTAAACAAACTAGATAAATGTGCAAATTTAATGAATGTAAATAAGTATGCAAGGTAAATGTAGGAGTCTATATTTTACAGCAGTTGAATATCAAAATGGGGCATTTTGAGAATTTTTTGAAGAACCGTGGTGAGTCTTGAAGTAATGGCAATTTACCACAGAAAATTAACCAGGTGTTTTAGTCTGTCTCTGTGCACGATTTCCTGTCCGGTGCGATTTGCTCTGCTCTGTGCCTTCTTGCTGCGTTGAGCTTCAGTATCCGGCATAAATATAAAACTCGTTCAACATCAGACACTGTGAAACTGACTCTGAATGAAGGCTTAATTTCCAGCCGAAGACGTCGCTAACGTATCGATCTCATAATGGATGTTGATTCAGTCATTGGAAACTGACTGACTGTACCGGCGGGGTCAAATCAACTTTGGTTAGATGTTCCCTTGCTGTCTGAGTAGCTTACTGGGCTGAAATATTTTTTTATAGAAATGCAGTTTTTTGTCACCATCATCAAGAACTTAAACTGCTCCCCACCTATTTTAGTAGCTCGATGGTCTAATTCCAGGGACTGACGGACTTACGAGGATGTGTGGCAGTTACCATAGCTACAGTGCTTGTTGATGATGACTTACAATGATTAAAATATATAAAACACCTTACAGGTTAGTGGGAGCCCAAGATCATTGTCCTACAGTCAGTTTAAGTGTTATCTATTTTAGTTTATATCACTATCTAGGCCACAACTTTGGCGTCGCAATGGTAGTTACTAAATGTACACGAGACAACAGGTGATGCTGTGATGGGTGATCAGTATTTGGCTTCCAGAATCCTAACCGATGCATGTCCAGTTTAAACACCAATATATCAATGTTTCTTAATATGCTCATTGCATTTCATTGCTACAAGATGACCAAGATCCGCTCATTTCTGCTAACTACTAGAGTCATTGTTTCACCAGACCTGGCTATGGAAGCTATAGGGTCCCTTTCCTTAATTATTTCCTCAGGAACAAATGACAGGAGGGGAATTTAATTCAATAAAGAAAAAAACGTTATTAATCTCAAAAGGGATTATCAATACGTTCAGGAAATTTAGTAAAAAAATAGCCCTGTATTTCCGTTTTAACACTCTTTAGGTCTCTCAAATGAATAACACAACTGAAGGAATGTTATTGTGATGAAATTGCTTTCCTACACAGAAAATGTAGGGAAAAATATTTACCGTACACCACGCATCACCCCAAACATATCACCCCAATTTTAAAACATGGCGGTGGCAGCATCAATGAAAGGTAATGAAAAATGTGTTTGTTAGTTGTTGTTTTTTTTAAACCTGGAAGTGATTAGAGTTGATGCAAAGGTGGAGGAACAAAATACAAGGAAATCCAGGGACAATGGTTCATGGTCTAACAGAGGAGAAACACTGAACATGTAGCCAGAACTACAGAGGAATAATTGCTTGGACCAGACTAATGTCTTTATGAGTTAGCCAACAGTCTAGACCTAAATTCAGTTAAAAATGTGTACCAAGACTTAGAATTGGTAAATGGACTGTACTTATATAGCGCCTTTATTCAAGTCAGGAGACTTGACCAAAGCGCTTTACACTACATTCATTCACCCATTCACGCACACACTCACGGTGGCAAGCTACATTGTAGCCACAGCTGCTCTGGGGCTCACAGACGTACACTGGCGCCACCAGGCCCTCTGACCACCATCAGAAGACAATGCAGGTGAAGTGTCTTGCCCAAGGACACAACAACACAGAAAGTCGGAGTTGGGGCTTGAATCGTCAATCATTCAATTTCAGGACAAACTCCTACATCCAATGCTACTGTCGCATTGTCTGACAAGATACGCCAGTCTGACTGAGCCTGACCTACTAGTAAGGAATCAGTCAAAAATACTCTAGTTGTGCAAAGCTAATGGAGACACCCCCAAATATAAGCATCTGTAGGCACATAAACATGGTTCTACAAGGTATTGACGATAACATTATTTGTGGTTGTAACCGTCAGCCAAAATTTTGTAATGCATTATCTCATAAAAAATTGTTTTATGAGATTTCTAGAGTAAATAATAACAAATCTAATGTTAGATCCTTAAGCAGTACGGTAATTAACAGCAAAAACTGGTTTTAAACAGTACAGGAAGCCATCACCAGATTGTTTCTTACCCGCTGTCTGAGGTCAGTGACTCTCCCAAGGAGTGGGTATCAGTTTGGCCCCGGTTCTCGCCCTCCTGTTTCGGCTGGCTCCCCTCCCTGGGTTCATTGTTGTTGCTGGGACAGCCGGCGACGTATACCTGGGGCTGCCTTGTCCCGCCGCTGTTCCCCATGGCCACTGCAGGCCCCCTTTCGTATCCGTTCACTGTTCTGTGACCCGACCTGTTCTCCAAGATTTCATGATGTTTGTTGTAGGATGGCGGCGACGACGAAGGCGGTGGACGGGATGAGGATGTGGGGACTGGCGTAGGGGTGGAGGAGGCGGCATGTCTGGGCAGTTTGTATCCATGTGAGATGAGGAGGTCCTCCACGCTGTACATGGTGGCATTTGTTTTTGCTGGTGCTCGTGTTCCCCCCCCACCCCCTTCTCTGCCTTTAAGTCGCTTGTCAAGGTGCCTCTGCTTCTTCCCTACACACACTGGCAGGATTACCGGCACTGCTGCACAGCAGAGGCCATCACTGGAAAAAAAAAGACAGGCAGAAAAGAGGATAGCATGAACGCACTAGAAGAAAGACAGCTGAAAAAAAGGTGATGGTAAAACCATTATCCTCGCCATCCGTGTCCAAGTTTTGTCAAGACCTTTATGGAAATTCGATACAACGGGAAAAAGAAGGCACCACAACATGAGCCCCCCCCCCCCACCGCCATTTCATTCCTTCACTCCTGTTCTTTACCTTTGCTCCACTTCTGTGAGGCACAGAGGAAGATCTGCAGGTTAAAAAAAAAACTGCATATACTCCAAAGCAGCATCATCTGTTGAAAGAGCAGGAGTACCGCTGCGTTAAAACAGGGCCACTGTTTGCACTGAGCTCCCAACAGAACTCCAGCTGGTAGCAGTATTCCCAAGTCCATGTTTTGCATCACCAAAACTGCTGGAGGACAGTGCGCCTCTGTGTTCACCTCAACATCTCAAGTGTGTCAGCAAGAGCTGTGCTCGACTCTCGGCACAAAGTCGAGCTTGTTCAAAGCGCTGCCCCTTGTCGCTGATCCTGTTTGTGAGGTTCATGGACAGAAAATAACTGTGTAGTTGCAGTGAGGACGGTGTCCTGTTTGAGACCTTAGGGTCTCAGTTTTGCCTTTTGCAGATGATATGGTTCTTTAAGGGTATTCTAGCAATGACCTATAGCTTGAACTAAAGCATTTTCCAGAACAATTGAGGTAGTGGGAGATCCTGGATCTCGTTTTGTTTACAAGTGATGAGATGATGGGCACGGTAGACAAAAATATGGACCAACGAGTTTGAAGGCTTACTCTCAGTTTAGACATAACCCTTTCCCACAGGCCAAAGAACCCACTTAAACCTAGGAACAAGCGGCTTTAGCGGCAGTGGGAACAGCTCATTGACTTGTGTCTAACCGGGTCAAACGAATCGGCAAGTGACCCGCTTTAAAATCACCTAAATTACGTGATACCATTGAGCGAAACATATGGAGGTCAACACCCCGTGCCAGTCGCGTCTGATCTAACAAACAAAAAAACTCTGTCTACATTTGATAGACATGGCACAGCCCTGGTGGAGAGGGATTCGGAAAGATAAAAGAGCGAAACAATACAGCCCACTGACTATGCCCTGGCTTCTTTACATGTTGCTCTCCACTGTTTACTTCCCTGATTTCTGTCGCACCAGTGACATCAACAAAACACGCGTTAACCCTTTATTTTCAGTGGGAAAGAAGCTTTAGATGATAAAGGAGAATATGGAGGATTTTCCCTGCCAAAAACCAAGAGCAGGACTTCCTCTACTTGCACTCAAAACTTGTAATGCTCACATTCAAGACTTCCTCTTTCTCTCAGATGTATTATTTTCCCCATCAATTATTTATTTCTGCCCTCAGATCTAATGCTTCTAGCACAGATATTTTCTCCTCTCGTCTACCTCCGTCGTCTTGCGCAAACCGGTCTGTTCAAGTAAGAGATGCGCTCACAAACCCGCTGGCTCTGCTTGTGGATTGGCTTTTATTAAATCTCTCAGACTGGAGTCAGATCGTCGCCTAGCAACCTTTGCCGGCAATAGAACCACAGCCTCAGATAGGGCGCGCTTGTTATCCTATACTGAGTTTGTATGTTACTGCTTATTGATAGTAAAATTGTTTCTCAAATGTTTTCTGCTAACCCAGTTGTGTGCAACGGTCTTCGTTATGCCAGATATATGAACTCGTACAATATATGAACTCATACAATATATGAACTCATTGGAGTTAAACCATCTTTAGGCCTGAGGTGAACACAAAATTCCATCGTCACAGTATGCTAGTCAGGGCAGATGATAATTCTGCCTCCAACAGAAAATTTGTGACTTTTCAGTTATTGATTTTGGACTCACCCTTTTTAAATTTTCAGGTTTTTATTTTTCCTAACTTTTTTTGTTTTAAGCATATTAATATATCAGAATTTATATTGCAAAGCCATATAAATAGACTCGAGCGGACTGGTTTGTGCACGAGGAGAAGGAAACGAGAGGAGAAAATATCTGTGCAAGAAGCATTAAATCTGAGAGCACATAGAAAGATTTAATGGAGAAGAGAATATATTTGAGAGAAGGGGGAACTTTTGAATGTGATCATTACAAGTTTTTAGTGGAAGTAGAAGAAATCCTGCTATCAAATTGAAAATGTGTGCTTTTGGTTTTTGGCAAGAAAAATCTTGAATATAAGAATTTTTCATGTCTTCTGTCTTTCAGATGCCTTTGCATCCTCCAATATTGGCTAGGAGGGGAATGTCAGGGTTTTCAAATTTGAAGTTTGAATCCCCAGGACCGCATTTCCAATGAGCAAAAAAGGTACGGGTCAAGGATTTTCCACGGATCATAAAACAGCATAGACGTTAGTACTCCCACTTTCAGTAATTTACATATCAAGACAAGGTAATGATCTGATTCCTAATAGTAAACGGTAGTGATCCAAAACACATTCATTATTCATAGTACTACCACTAAAAAAAAAGATAGAAAAACACTAATTGTGACTAAATAGCTGGTAGAACCAGTCCCGCTGCCACTATTTGCATACTTGATATGAGGGATTTCTCCAAAATCAATGACATGGCATGAAGGAAGCCATCTATGTTAAGAAAAAAAAAACAACCTTAAACAGAGGGGGTGGACTCTCGTTTCAGCTTTCAAAAACCTACAAAGCAGCAACTGAGTTAATCCCTTCTCGCTGTCATCACAACCCCAGCCCCTGTACAGGTGGGCGGAGGACCCCGCCTATTCAGCCAGGCCAACAGTCCCATTTAACAACCCCCTACTCAGACCGTTATGGGGCATTGCAGGCTAACAAAAAAAACCAAACGACCCCCATGCCAAAGGGATAAATCACTTTGTTCCTTTTACTTTGCATGTTTTCAAAACAAAAACAGGGATCTGTTGGGCTACTGTATAAAACGTCAAACTCTTCAAACGCTCAAATCCTATTCCTGACATTTAGAATTAAAAAAGGTTTCTTGGTTGGGTAGCAAAATATCTTGAAACTTGGAAACAAAGTCCAGTGGATTTTCTTATTTTGAAATAATTCAATTCAAATTCAAAAATCCTTAATTAATCCCAAAGGAAAAATAAATGTTGCAGTAATCAATTTAACTTCATTGATTAAAAGCAAAAACTAAAACATTTCTATTATTTCAAGGGTTCCCAAACATTTCAACTCAGGAGCCCAAAAATAACAATAAAATAGACTACTGACCCATTAAAACTACATAGAGGATTTCATGCTATGGCACATATAAAGCAATAATATTGATTTTTAACTAAATTTATTTTTAATTAAATATAGTTATTTAATTTTCATTTTGAATGTATCTAATTTTGATTATTCAATGTGACATTTAAACTTTTAAATGTGTATTTTAAAATGTTATGTTATATTTAGTATGCAAATCATTTATTATATCAATAAATAAATCTATAAATGGTACATCTACTTATTTTACATCTACTTTCTTCCACAGAGCATTTATATTCATGTATTTTGATATATTCTGGCCCTCCATATACCTCAGGGATCACATCACATGACCCCTCCACTTGGTGTCTACAAATGAACCTACAGTAAAGGTATGAAAGGTATTAGAAACCAAATGCCTCCAAAAATGAGCATGGATATTAGCTTGAAGGACTAATACCTGATTGAATTAGGGATACCCAGTGTGCATCGTCTCGTGATGTAATGCCCTTGATGAAGTCATGCTTGATGCCTTGTCAGCGGCAAAGATGCTGCTTCAACCCACTCATTCATGCAAACAACCTGGCTGTCCTCAATAAGAAATGGCATAAAAGAAAAGCGCTTTGCGACTCGCTGCCAAAATCAAATGCCGTGCAGACGGTTTTAAAGCCAATCACACAGGGATTGTTAAAAGGCAGAGCCAAATCGCTTGTTCCCCCTCTATGAAAAAACAGACGGCTGACGCAGCCTCGACAAAATGTATTCAGCTGCAAACTGATTAGCATTTGTGTTGCTCTTTCACTGTTTATTTAGCCATCATAGTCTCATACAGGCAGAAAAAAAGAGGCGAACTGAGCTATAAAAAGCCATCCCAGAGGGCAGCATCACTGCCCTTCGCCTTCTTTCCCTTGTACCTGAACCCCGGGGACAGCCCACTAGGTGATTAGATGATTAACGGGATCCAGCAGCATGAAAACGCCGCTCTCTTTGTGCGTCTGGCTCTCTAATACGATTATCTTTTTTTTCTTTTTTTATTTAAAACCTTAAACCTGTTAGTTTTGGAGGATTGACTCTTGGCGCTTAGCCAGTTAATACTTTTGTTGAGTTTAACTCTTCCCGTTTGTGATTTGAGTAATCCCCTCAAGCAGAGGCCAGTTCGGAGTTTCCAAGGACCTTCTGTTAAAGCAATGTCAGTGTGAAGGAAAAATAGGGGAGGGGCGGTAATTAATTTCCTTATGGATGAGTGCACAGACATAGGATGCACAATATTTCCCTCATCATGATTTCCTGAACTTCAGCTGAACTTGGACTCAAAAACCAGGATGCCGGATTTCTCACATTATGCTGTGGAAATGCTGCAGAAAAAACAATAACGATGGTTCTAATGTGGGAAAAAATAAATGCCGGACTGAATTATTTCCTCAGTAAATGTATTTTTGATTACCTATTAACCAAAGGTATCGCAAAAGAAGCATCTCCTGATAGTTAAAAGCAAAGAATTTCCTTTTGACCCATTGTAAGACATACCTTTGATACTACTTAGGCTTCACTGGGGTGTGGAAGAGACTTAATTACACCATAAAAACAACATAACCAGGATGTTATTCTTTAATTATTTCGGCCTAGGAGTCCAAAAAATAACTAAAAAAGCTATTTAAGAGGAACCTTCAGAAATACCTTGAATTAGAGCGAATAGGGATACAGGATGTCGATAATATGGAGGATAAAAAGTGCCGAAATTAAATAAATAAATACAGCATTTAATAATTAATTAAATGTGGAATTAAATGAATAAATGT